AACGATGTATCCTAAGGACACAAGTGGACGTAAGTTTTCTGATATATACTTCACTCGAATTTTGTCCAATGGTGAAAAGGTTCAGCGAAATTGGTTACTATATTCTATTAAGAAAAATGCAGTTTTCTGTTTTTGTTGTTAAATATTCAATGACACCAACAGTCAGAGTTCATTGACCTTTAAAAATACCAAATTAAGTAATCAAGACGGTTTCAATGATTGGCATCACTTAAGTGAACATTTAAAAATTCACGAAAAAAGTAAATTTCATTTTCAAAATTCACGTTTCTGGTCAGACTTATTAGAAAGATTAAAAACTAACCGAACTGTAGATTCCGAAATGCAAAATTTATTAAAACTTGAAACGAAACACTGGCGCAGTATACAATTCAATTTTTGGCCGAACAAAACTTGGCTTTTCGAGGATCTAGTAACAAGCTATTTGAAAGTAATAATGGAAATTTCTTGAAATGGATAGAAATGATAGCAAAATTTGACCCAGTCATGTTTATACATATTAATAGATCTCAAAAAAATATGCCACTTTATCTCGGAGATAAAATTCAAAACGAAACTATTAAATTAATAGGTGATAATATAAGAAACAATATTTTAGAAGAAATTAAATTAGCTAAGTATTTTTCTATAATACTAGATTGTACTCCTGATGTGAGTCACCAGGAGCAAATTTCTGTTTGCATAAGATACGTTAATTTAAAAAACAATGAATTTAGTATCGAAGAACGTTTTGTAATATTTCAGCCATTAGGTAATACAACAGGGGAAGGTTTAACCAACTTTTTGCTGAAAATTTTAGAAAATTATGGTTTAGACATTTATAATATACGCGGACAAGGATACGACAATGGTTCGAATATGAAAGGTAAACATCAAGGTGTACAAAAAAGAATTTTAGATATTAATCCACGTGCAATATTTGTTCCTTGCTGTAACCACAGTTTGAATCTTGTCATTAACGATGCTGTGAAATCAAATATATTTTGTATAAACTTTTTCTCAACTGTTCAAGAGTTATATAACTTTTTTTCTGCCTCAAACAATCGGTGGTCTGTTCTGAAACGTAACATTTCAAATTTAACATTAAAACCTTTGTCAGAGACCAGATGGTCTAGTTAGTAGAATTGATGAGGTAACCCCTCCAAGATTTCAGTTGGGCGAAATATACGACGCTTTATATGAAATTTTTTCCGAGAATAATTTTGATAATTCTACAAAACATCTAGCTTCTTCTTTAGCTAAAAAAATTAAAAATTATGACTTTGTCTGTATGTTAGTCTTGTAGCACAAGATACTGGGTAAAGTCGATATTGTTACCAAGATTCTGCAAACTAAACAATTTAATATTTCAAATTCTTGCGAAAGTTTGAACAACCTAATTGCCTTTTCAAAAGAATATCGTTCAGATAAAGGCTTCAGTGAGATGCTGGTAGATGCCAAAGAATTGGCAACTGCCTTGGACGTAGATGCGAAATTCAAAAGTGCAGAAACCATACGGCCACGAAGAATAAAAAAACAATTTTCCTATGAAAGTGAAGATCAGCCAATTGAAAACCAAGAATCAAAATTCAAAGTCAACTGTTTTTTTGGAATGCTAGATATTACTCTTTCATGTGTAAATGAGAGATTTGAGCTGTTATCCTCCCATGCCGATGTTTTCAAATTTTTGTGGAATACTAAGGATTTCGGCAAGTATTCTGATAAAGATCAATTAAATTTTTGTAAAAAACTTGAAGAAGTGTTAACTGACAAAAATCGAAACGAGAGAGACATAGACGGAACGGAACTTTTAACCAAATTACAATTTCTACAAATTTGCGACGGAAACGTAACATCTGTAGTAGAAACACTTAATTACATTGCAAAAAATAACTTGGTCCACTCATTCCCAAACATTACTATTGCGTTACGTATATTATTAACTATACCGATTTCTGTAGCTTCAGCCGAGAGATCATTTTCTAAACTTAAACTAATTAAGAATTACTTAAGATCTAGAATGGGTCAGGAGCGGCTAGAAAATCTTGCTATTATTTCTATAGAATCTGAGTTGTTAAAGGAGCTGAATATTGAAAATCTAATTAATGAATTTGCCAAAGGTAAAGCAAGAAAAGTTCAATTTCTATAAGAAATTTCCGTTGGTTTTCATCATAATAAGTGTATTTGTTTAAAAAAGAATCGCAATCTAAATATGTTTTATTTGATCTTCAGTTTTTTAATAATTTTAAGTAATGTTTTATAACTTNAGTCCACGTGGACTGTAGAATTGGCGGTTTTTATTGGATAATTTTTACTAACCGTAACTGACGAGTCGTAAAATTAAATTTGAAGTCATGTTACGGTGACGAATAGAAATCGGGGAATGCGGATATGGTTATCGCCATCGTGCCATCAATGTTCAGTTCAGGAACTGATCGCGATCTGAGTGTTGAAATTCGATATTGGTGCAGTTATAATAACTTGAAATTTTTGTTATCTGTTCAAAATGTGGCATCCTTGGACAAGTACTAATAATAATAACAAGTGTGATAACAATGCAGACTTTTTCCAGTGTGGTGATTCCAATAGCGATGGTGAACAATGCGAAAAAGAGATACCAATGAATAAGATTCGAATGCATTTGAATCTTGAAACACAGAGAATATGTTTCAATGTATAAGAATCCACAACTCACAAGACAGTTACAAAAGGGTGGACTAATGGTTCAAGAATGTGTACGCCTAACATGCCTGCAAACAAAATTCAATAAGAAGGTAATAGAGCTAATTAAAGAAGAAGTATCTAATATTACCGAAGAAGACTGGCAGAAAAGGATTAAAAAAGTAATTTTACTTGAAAAAGACTATGGCGATTGAACACTTCCATATTAATGGTGAAAATAAATTAATTATTGATTTAAATGACGACAGTGATAGTGAAACAGAGAAAATGGAAGAGGAATTATCAGAAGTATTCAAAGAAAGTTAGTGAAGTGTTTTTAAAGCGATTGATTCTATATACAGTACATTTCTTTAATGTCCCCCCCCCTTTTATTTTTTGAACGGGTCAACTCAAAAAATTGAAATTTGGGATAATGAAATTAATGCATGAATACTTTATTTTGAAGTGAAATTGACATTAAACTTTCAAGATAGCGACTGGGCGCCACCTGGGAAAAAAATTAAATGGAAAGGGGGGTCTTGTGACACATCATTTTGAAGCTCCTGACGAATACTTCATAACCCTAGAATATGAAGTTAATATCTTCACCTACTACAAAATGGCGAAATATTTAATAATTTCTTGAAGACAAACATATTAATATTGATATTTCTAGAAATATTCCTTTTTATCTGCCATATTGCAATTCCACCACCACATGAGGTTTGTTAAGTTATTTTTTGTTAATAAAAACGACAAAAAATGTCTGTACGACAATTAACATCATTGTTCAATTAAATATTCTCATTTAGTTTTCGGTTTTACTAGTAGAAAGGTACCACGTCAACAATCTCTAAAATGGTCAATTCTCGTTCATTGGAAGAAAAAATTGAAGCGATTTTTATTTACGGTGCGACGCGTAACTTTCACGAGGCCGAAAGGATTTTCAATGAACGTTTTCCGAATCTTCCTATCTGTAGAAAATATTTGAGGGAACTTGTATCCAAATTCACAACTACCGGTAGTGTACATAACAAAAAGCCCCCAGGTCATCCGTCCATTCCAGAATAACAGCAAGTGCAAATAGTTGGTGAGATGGTAGTAAATCCTGAACAGTCTACTTATTCCGTCGCGAATGTTTGTGAGATGTCTCCTTCTACTGTGTGGAGACTTTTGAAGAGGAATAGGTATCATCCATACAAAATTAAAATAGTACACCAATTAACTGAAGATGACCCTGATCGAAAACAGAATTCTGCGAAATCATGACGGAAACCATTGCAAGGCATCCATCTCCATAATATTTGCTTTAGTATCGGAAAGGCTGTTCATATGTCAAGAAGTTCAAGGCAACCATTTCGAGCATCTTCTGAACTGACCTCAAGCTTATTACCTCATATTATGTAGTTAAATGTTAATGTATTCAGGCAATTGTTAAAAGTTCAGTCATTTTGTAGTGGTTGAAGATATTGACATTATAGTCCATGGTTATGAAGCATTTGTCAGCATTTTTTTTCCACATGGCGCCCAGTCGCCATCTGGGCGAGAAAGTATTAAGTATTTAAACTTCATCACTAACTGAATACGGTCCTGAATTTGGATAATTACGGCTCGAATAATCTAACAGACTGATAACAGATTTCTAAACATCTACTGGACTAGGTGTTGAACGTCCGACCCTTCTTCAATTATGCTCAGTCAAACGAGTTTTAACACTTTTTTTTCGTGATTCCGATGTAGAAAGAACTACAACTACATGGTCTTCGGTAAACTTCTGGGTTACTTAATAAATCCCTGGAAAAATTTTGCTCACAATTCATAAAATACACTTATACAAATGACAACATCAATAAATCAACAACTACCTTCATTTGTTTCCATACTTTTCTATTGTAT